TAGGGGCACAAGCACTATTAGTGCAGCAATCAATGCAGAGCATCTGAAATGATCGAGCTTCACTGTGCATCAATTCATGTTATTGTTCACCTTACTCCACATTATAACCGAACAGGTTACAAATATTTGGATATTGTATTTATCAATAGGTGCTGTAAACTGAAAAGCTTTTGTTATTCAAAACTAAATGTGATCATATTATACATCAATTTTAGTTTTTTGGGGTAAAATAAATGCACAATTTTGACACAACACTTAAACACGATATTTAGCTGCAATAATACTCAAGGCAACATGTGAGTGATTGCTAGCTTTTTGCAATGATATATGAACCGAGGTGTCAGGGGCAACATTTCTCATATTCGTTATCTTGTCATTCGCCCCTCGACAACCAGCAATTTGTGACCATTTTCGCTCGGTTAAGGCGTCCAATAATCCCTCACAGCCACCACACTGAAAATAAAGTTTAGACTGCATGGTTGCACTTATAACTTGGCCACTAATATAGTTTTAGAAATAATTATAGGGTAATTGTAAATCATTTCACTGCAGTATATCTCACCTAATTGTGTGTGCGTGTGTGTGTGTGTGCGTGTGTGTGTGTGTGTTTGTGTGTGTGTGTGTGTGTGTGTGTCGGCCGGCGTGCGTGCGTGCGCGCGCGCGCGCGAGCTGGATGCTACCTATGCCCTGGAAGTATTGGTTTAAGCACGGCAGGAGAGTGCATTAATTGATTTATTCATTAATGTGAAATATATGTTGCAGTTTTATTGCGTGTTTTACCATTGTGTGATATTGTTGACATTAAGTCATATTTGGTGGTTAGCAGGCTGGATCTTGTCCAACGGTAATATACTATATTATCATACTAACATCTTAGATGTATGTGAAATAAGATAATCCTTCAATAAATGTAACACACATTTCAAATATTGGCGACATACCTGATTTTTTTTCTTCACTTATCTAGAAACACTACATGGCAGTTACACTTTACAGCATACATGATATTATATTCATACGTTTTCGGTTTTTTCTTTAGAAGTGAATCCTTGACATTCTGCACTATTAACAACATTGTAGTAGCCCATAATCAGAAAATTATATGATTCCTCTATGGCAAACCCTATTTTGGTGCTATAAATAATCTTTTCAGAAAGGTTTTCTATCTCTCAGCATTATAGTGCTCTACCCAACCCCGCGAGATTACATGAAATGCTCCAGCAGCTTTAAAAGAACTTTCTGACAACCTTTCTTGGCCTCCTTATTTGAATGAATCCAGCATTTTATTTGCACAAATCAAAGGGAACCTCTTCTTTTGTGCACCTAAACCTCTATGATCCACCTTGTCGTCCACATGTTTTATTTTCTGCTGCATGTTCTGCAGGCCATGCCATAGTACTGAGACCCAACCTCCCTTATAGTCGCCGCAAGTATGCAAAGGAAAGAGTGAAGATGTGACGGGGCGTATTTGAAGTATGACGAGCTTTGTGGTCCACTCCTTTTCATTCCCTTGCCTCAAATATACGCCCGCTTTCAAATAAGCCTCTTTGGCAATCCCATGCCGACCCCCCTAACACACACACCCCCTGCCACCTTGACATGAATGGGCGACTGACCTTTAGGGCCGTGTCCACTCTGCGGTCCAGTTTTATCCAAATAAGCCTTCTTCCCCCACCCTGCTTCATACGGTGCCAGCAATTCTTTACTGATATCATCAGCGGATGCAAATGAATTTGGACGGGGTGGGGGTGCGGGAGTGTGTGTGTGTGTGTGTGTGTGTGTGTGTGTGTGTGTGTGTGTGTGTGTGTGTGTGTGTGTGTGTGTGTGTGTGTGTGTGTGTGTGTGTGTGTGTGTGTGTGTGTGTGTGTGTGTGTGTGTGTGTGTGTGTGTGTGGGGGGGGTGTTGGTGGTGTAGTCATGGACAAAATACCACACTTGCTGCAGAATGCTGCATGTGGAGAGATGGGAATATTGAATAGGCTACCCCGCCACCAGAACCATCACAGAATTCAATATTGAAGAGGAAAAAAATACACATTCCTATCCCAGAAATATTGGCGCTGAAATACCACCAAGAAAAATCGCCATTCAAATGAGATGCGTTTATTTCTGCATGGCCTTTGAAGAGAAGAGAGAGGTCGTGTCACTCAAGAGAAGGAGAGGGCCACTCCGTTATAACCCCCTCCTTTTTGCTCTCCCTCTCTCACTCTCCCCTTCCCCTCTTCTCTCTCTCCTTCCGACCCCCACTCACTCTTCCCCACACACTCGCGCACACGCACGCTCATTTTCACTATAGCACGCTGGCTTTAGGGGCGACACAGAGGCTAGATTAGAGCTTTGCTCCTTTAACAAGGGAGAGGAGGCACTTCTATAATCACAGCGGCGGTATGTGGGGCCACAAAGAGTTTGCAACCACAGGGCGACTGGTCTTCTGTAGAGTGGTCCAAGCCGTGGGCAAGCCAGAGAAACGTTCTATCTAACGTATTATGGGATCAAAACACAGTGGTTATGGTGCGTGAAGGGGTTATTAACCCACAGAGCCCTGCAAAAGACCGCTCTCCAAACAGCATTACCCTGGCATCGTCCGAATTAAGACAAGTCAGCACGTTATAACATGAACAACGCGAATGATCAAGTAATTATTGTAAGGAGAGCAATACATCCCTTGTTGACGATTTAGAGTGTTTCTGCACGACTCCTGGCACCCCCCACCTTCCCTTAAGCACAGCAGTGTAACATGGACATACAAATGTGATGGATGGTGCTGAGTAAGATGGAAAAAAGACATGTATTTATCAACATGCCGCATGTCTTCTAAGGTGGCTGAGAGAGGCAGAGAGAGAGGGAGAGCACCAACATGGAGACTAAAGGGAGGCAATGGAGGCACCGTAAGCAGCGGTTCCCCGTGGTATGGGTAAAAAAGACCCTTCAAAGCATCGTTTCAGTCAATCATAAATAGACCTACAGCAGTCCAGGTAAACACAGATAGCAACAATATGAACTCCATATTTGGAGTGGACTAGTGCGTCACTGCAGTCAGCATGTCGTTGTGTCCCTGGGCAAGACACTTCACCCCAAATTGCACCTGTGGGGATTGCCCACAGTATTGAGTATGTAAGTCGCTTTGGATAAAAGCGTCTAACAAGTAACATAATGTAATGTAATATTTGACAGTAAAACCACCCATTAAACAACAGCGACTAAGATGGACGCATAGACAGAGATATCAATGTGTTTATGATTCGATGTTGTGCCTGCTATTTTCAGATAACAATTTGACGAGTATCTGCACAAATGCACCCAAAAACAATATTTATTCTGCCGCAGAAATGCAAGCTTTTATCATGTCACAGTAAAACTATAGTAATAAAATATAAATGGAATTAGTCTATTAACCAAATCCTTGGCAAATGACATTCACATGTGTTTAGTGGAGAGGTTGGATACCTGCTAAAAAGCTTGGTAATTCATTGTCAGCGGATAATATAAGGACTACAGAGGGTATAGGCTCAGTGGATTATATCTTTACAAGCATTATTATGCTTGAGTGACTGGCTGAAAAAACGCACAGGCTCCAGAAAAGATTGGTCAGGCATGAATGCGTCCTGTATGTTTTGTCTTTATAACATATTAATCCGTCAAACCATGAAGTGGAGACGATCTGAGACCGTAACGGTTTTCAGTTAAACTTAAAAGTCCACATCAGAGCAGTTTAAAAAAACTTTGCATGCACATAAAGCAGAGCTCACTAGTGGCCGAACTTTTATTATTTTAGTTTTGTATAATGCTGCGAAAATGGGTCACCAATCAAATCTGTCTCAGCACTGATGTAATTGCAACAAAATGCTGCTGAGTAAAAATTGAGGAGCTCGTTGACTGCGGTGGCACAGTCACACACCATCTGGAGTGTATTAGAAGGAGAAGCCGTAAATATGACTGAAAAGCAGGCGTTATCAGGTATGTAAGCCCAGGCCCTGCTGCATGGCCTCCCATATGTTGACATAATCACACTGTTGGGATGTCTATTAACATTTCTGAATTTAATAAATGAACACAGTAATTCAATTCAGTTTGTTTGTGCAGATCTCCCAATGACTCCGAGTGTTGGTCTGTTTACATTTTTGGAGAGGGTGGATTATTATGGGATACAATGCTGCAGGGGCTCATGGGATGTTATCACAGTATTGAGGTTGCAGTTGTGTTTGGACCATGAGCAACAGGTTAACTGACTTCCTCTCTAGCTTTCCCCTGAATGTTATGCACTTAACAGCTGATTATTAAACGCACCAGCATTAGTTTTTATTGAGTCGCTTTGTCTTTTATAATGGCATCCCTCTGCCGCTAAGAAACACACCACATCCTCTCAAACTTGACAGAATGAATTAGGAGCTCCTCTTGAGCTGCAAACGCTCTGTTACATCCGATTCACACTTTTCCCCTTTAAAACCAAGCATTTCCTTTCCGACCATCCGGGTCTCTCTTTATGCTAGTAGTGTGATTTATTCCGCACATCATTAATGTATGTGTGTACGCGTGCACACATACAAGAGAAACACCTCCATTTGTGTGAACATGAGTCCATCCTTATACTGTATATATCCCACAACTGTGAGAAAACGTTCCCTTTGGACTTCAATGCCACGTGCTGTTTAATTTATTTGTGATGACAAGCACACACGCATGCATTTTAACGGGCACACACACACACGCACACTCACACTCATAGACAAATGCCCATCCTCTTTCACTTTTTACGTATATATCCCTCCTCCCCCTCCCCTCTCTCTTTCTCACTCACTCCCCCTGGCTTTATCCATTTCAGTCCGAGGAACACACAAGAACACCGTGCAAAACACACACACACACACACACACACACACACACACACACACACACACACACACACACACACACACACACACACACACACAGGGAGGAAAAAGAGAGAGAGTGGAAGAGAAAGATAGACAGGGGGAGAGAGGGAGTAAAAATGAGCCTTACCTTTTTTCTCTTTTCCTGCCGTGAATCTTCATCCATCCGTTGACTGAGCTTGACTTGATCCAGCCACTTCTTCTCCAGTGCTAACAAGTCTGTGGTAGTGCGTTTTAATTAATATATTTCTGGGCTCTGTCCCGAACCCAGAAGCTTTAGAGAGGGAAGAGGAGTGCAGATTGAGACATATTGAGCCCGCTTTAAAAGGATCATTTCATCATGTGGGAGGTTGGGACACACAAAGTTTGGACCCGTGACTGGCATTCCGGAGAGACATGCATATTTTAAAACAACAAAGCAAGACAGAGACCAGGGGCCCCGGGTGGGAGGGGAGAAAACTTGGAAAGAAGTTACTATCAGATGAACAGCTGTCATTGTTGGGCAAGACATGAATGCATATTAAGATATAGTCATCTGAAAAAAGCAACATGTCCAAATAATGTCATTGGTAGTCCCTGTATCACTCATTTAACCTTGTACCGTTTTCATACATTTTTCTAAGACATACCTTTGTTTAATAATTTTTAAATAGTAAATTATTATATGTCTTTCAAATAATTATTTCAAAGCACAACTTTAACTTTTCAACTTTTAGAAATGTGGAACGACCTCGTTATTATTAAATCTGTGTTTATTTTATCCAGCAGATTATGTTGTTTTAATATAAAACGTTGAAGAATTGGAAAATGTTGGACCTATTGAATTGGAAATACTATTTTTATAGTTTATTTTATGTCATATAGCAAACAGTTTGTAGATATTTTTTAATCCTGAAATATCTAAATTATAGCCGTAAAGATTACAATTTAAAACGTCTCCCACGTCTATTTTGTCAAGTCACACACAATTGTATATCTCTCCCAAGTAAAGCGAGAGTGCTTAGCGCTGTCACTTCTGCACAGCTTTTACAACATCACTCTCAACCCCTTTTTTCTACTTCACTAGAAGGTTTTTTTTTCTCTAGTGCACGAGGTCCATTCGTGCAAAAAGAGTGGAGAAGGCATACATAAAAATGTGTTGGCTGTGACGAGAGATCTGTCCGCTGGAATTGAAGGGCCAGGGGAAGAAGACAAAGGGGGGAAAATGCATGCAGTGGTGTAGAGCTGGATATCTCTGTTAGTTGTCAGCGTTTAGTCCATGGCTGTGGAATGCTAATGAGTGAGGTCTCTCTCCCTTTCTCTCTCCTTTTCTCTCCCTCTCTTTCTCAATCCCCCTCCTCCTGTACACCCTCCGTCCCTCCCTCCCCCTCTCCCCTCTCTCTTCCCCTCTCTCTCTCTCTCTCTCTCTCTCTCTCTCTCTCTATCTCTCTCTCTCTCTCTCTCTCTCTCTCCTTCTCTCTCTCTTCTCTCTCTCTCTCTCTCTCTCTCTCTCTCTCTCTCTCTCTCTCTCTCTCTCTCTCTCTCTCTCTCTCTGGGAGAAAAAACGGATCGATAGCTGACCCGATGGTTTTGGCCAATGCTTTATTTATCTGGCCAGGCAATGATATTATCAGCCTTGAACGTTATATACAGCAAACGTCTTCCTAAATCAACACAAAGGGATCCGCTTACACAGCGATCCGGGCTTTCTCACAACCACCTCTCTCGCGCGCGCGCTCTCGGCCAGTAGCGCGGACACACGCGTAAGCACGCTGGTAGATGCACGCGTTTACGCACGGATATGCAAAGAACGCGCCCGCACATATATACATACAGAGAGACCCCACACATATTGCAAAATCCTAACATAGCAGCGTTTGACAGTCATGACAAACTGGAGTGCGCGCGCGTGCACAAATACGCACACGGGTGCAGGGAGTCGTCCACGGGAGGCGTCCCCTTATGTTACATTCACAACCAGGGATACTTTGTACCCCGTAGGGCTGGATTTGATCCATGGCTTAAAGGTTGCCTATGAGTTCTATACGGACAGATCTCAGAACAGAACATTATGCCTCTTTCCACTGACTGTGTGTGCAGTCAATACTGTTTGCTGCTATATAGCACACATCTCGGGAATCATTCCATTTTGGACATTTGTCCCCACTGTGCCGTTCCCAGCCATTTTGCAAGCTCGTTTGAGCGAGGTGCGTGGAAGACACGGCGAATCACTTGTTGTCATCATTTTTACGCACAAGACAATATGAGAAATAAGCCGTGTCATACTTCAGAGGGCCCCCCATTCATATCCCATTCATATACGGAGCCGCTATTTGGAAATTGTTATTGTCTTAAACAACAGTATTTGTCAAATGTGACCGGGAAAACTCGGCTACTGTAAGTGAAATGAAGTGACGTGTGACGCCAACAGGACGTTTCCACCGCTGAATAAAACCATTGGCTTGCATTGAGGCTTATGGAGAAATAGGTTCGCTGACAACTTAGGATAATAAATGTTTCGCTTTCAGACAGACATCTCAAACGTGAAATCGCACCCAGCTGCTTGTGTAAAGCAAACAAATAGCCCCCTGTGTTAGGAGTCCTCCACTTGTAGTTTGATGAATGAAACCAGACAAAGGTAAATGGTTATTTAACTCATTTTGTAGTAACACTTTGGTAACCGGAGTTTCCGAAATTACAGAGACACAAATGGGGCCCATAGTGTGCCACATATCCATCTTTCTTACCCACCGCAGCTTTCCCAATCTGACAGTGATTTACTTCTCTCTGAGTGCACTTAGTACTTTTTTCTTTGCTTGTATTTAATTAATAATAAGTACTAATAATGTTTTCATAACAGCAAACTATTAGGAATTTGATAATAAATATATCTGATATTTAAAGATTATTATTTCAATATTTGAGGTGTTAAATAATACACCAATTTGATCTTCTGTCAAATAGTGAAAAATGGTCCACAGCCTAAAAAAATTATCACTTTCCCTAGAATCCTCATGTTTTGCTTGTATTGCCTCTACAGAAACGTTAATTAGCAACACATGCCACCATTTCATCTGTTTTTGAACTATTGCTTTATATAGCCTGTAGTGTTACAATTGTATAACCAAATGCTCTCAGCAAGAGGATAAAAGATAGTTACTCTGGAGGGATTTAGAATACATTATGTGGAGACAACCAGCTGAAAGCTGCATTTAATAAACCAACAAACAATTTAGTCCAGAGCAACATAAAACAAAAACGACCTGGACTGTTGTCATGGCCATGGTGAAGCCATATTACATTTCTTTGAAGAACAAACGTTTATTTTCGCATGCACCTTTGCCGTCCAGGAAACAATCCTCTGGATGATTCCAAAAACACACCAGTAAAAGATAAACATGCTATATAATTCCATGGCTTCAGTACATATCTGTTTAGGCTCCATTTCAGGGGTTGTTGGTTGTGTATATTGTTGATTTTTTTGTTTAAATACAGCATATTCTGCCTTCAGTATAAAACAGAAAGGAACGGTACCATTATTCATCAACTTTCCTTTGACCTAAAGCTCCGGATAATCATGTCCACAATAAGGAAACAACGATCGAACCAGAAGAAATATCACATTTATGTTTGTACAGTAGCTTAGGCAACATCAAGGCGTCTGACAACTGACCCAGTGCTACAGACAGGTCGATTGGGAGCTAATAGGTACAATATGCCTGAACAGACATTAATCACGAGAATGAAAACTGCTGTGAGAGAGCATTTGAGGACAACTTAAAGCACAGCCTATAGCATCCCAGTGAGAGCACGATATAATTAATACCTTGATATTGTAGCCTTTAAACGAGACAGGCAATACAAACAAATAAACCACTGCCACGAATACCCATCCCCCAGCCAAGGCAGATAACAAATATGGCGATATCAAACTCAGACATAGCAACGTGCTGCATGCAGTTCAGCTCCTGTCCTCCTGTCCCTCATCGCTGCCAGTCAACAGATGACGATGTGAGCAATATGGCACATAAGCAACACGTCTGAAGAGGGGGGGGGGGGGGGGGGGGGGGGAGAGACTAACAGGCAAATGTAATAATTGTCACATCGAAACCCCATTTTCTTCTTCACAACGCCTTCCCATTTATCACATATTACCACTGTAGGTGTGAAGGTACCTCTGTAATGACAGTGAGGGTAGATCCAGGTCCATAACTCGGCTTCCTGTGTCATTTGTAGAGTATATGTAGACAAAACGCGCGCACACACACAAACCAATGCACGGACAGAAACTCTAACCCATCTAACACATTGAGGACTTATCGATGTACTCATTACATTGTGAATGTATGAGGCAAACCAAGGCCACATCTCTTTCTGTCTCCCTCACACACACACTTGCCTTCCTTCTCACACATTTCCCCTCTCATTTGTCTCTGCGCTGGCTCCACAGTCTCTCTACCCCTCTCTCTCTATCTCTATCTCTCCCTCCCTCTCCTTCCTCCGCTCTATTCCCACACAATGCATCACACTCGGTGTTCCTATCGACTGGTTTACATGCTGTAAAATACATTTTCCAGATTGATCACGCATATCACAGCAGCTTTGCAGCGGGGTCTAACCTTTTTGCCAAATGACGCCCACATCAATATTGAGGCATGCAGTATCAAGGCAGAATTTTTAAGAACAGGGAGAGGGGAATATTGTTTGGTTTGTGAAGAATCACCTTGATTAAGCCACATGAGGTAAGATAGAGGTGGCTCTGTGTGGTGCGCAGACGTTCCTTGCTGTCTGGGAAACATATTAAACATTAATGCGCACACAGGCTAGCACAGAGCTCACTGCTGTACTTCCTATAGCCTCCGCTTCTTTGTGTTAGCATTGTGTCAGTGGCTCTATTAAAATGTAAGGTATTTACTCATTGTGTAATGAACACACTTAATCCCTTGTATCACCTCATTTTCGGTGGGAAGGGTGTAATAGAGACAAACAGTGTATTAATAATTGTATGTGCCATTATAAGGCAATGCCGAAGAGTGACTCAGTAACTATGCACTTGGGCTTTTCTTATACCAGGAACGGACAGAGACAACAAAATCCCTTGGATGATAAAACATAAAATATGCTTGAGAATGAAACATTGTTGCCTATTTCTTTTTTTAATAGTACAGTCACCATCACACAACTTCATCAACCGACCCTTCTGCAAAAAGCTGCATCATGGAGTAAGCAAATTGAAGGCAACAACCAATAAAATTCAAGAAACAATGAAAATGTTCAAGACGAAACAAACAAAATGTATTTGAAATGATATATTAAAAGTGCTTTTGATTTTCATGTCTCTCCTCTTTGACTGATGATCGACTCCACACGC